TTAAATACTGACAGACTGAAGCGTCACCCTGTAGGCCTATTGTATATATTGAATGGTAAAATAATGCTGTCCGCTTGATATTTATTTTACTTTCTACAGTCATATAGAAACTTCACTTTCTATTTTTGTGCCTCACTGAATGAACTGATGGCTCTACATCATCATCAGTACGTTGCCAAGGGCTCAAAATCTGACAAATTATGGGGCTTTTGTACTTAGTAAAATTGTTGGCTTTTTCTGGCTTTTTTTATGTCTTGATTTGGCTTTTTTTGATCGCTGGGGTCTGGCAACCCTGGTCAGACGGTAGTACGTTCTCACCCAAGATGTAATTAATACAGAGCAGCTACACTAAAATGATACGGTCTTTAATAATACGTGATGATTGAGGCGGCATGTAGCAGTGTAAACAAACAATTGAAAAATTTCTAGGATAAAGTGTAAATGCATGTCGCCGTTCCATGCTTGGAAATAGAAAATATAGGGTATCTAGTGATTATCATGATACTGTAGTATCGACTAAAACGTCCACACAAAAATCGATTGTGTATGTTCTCAAATATCAGAATAGTAAGTTTTGTATACCAAGCCCTATTATAATGAGAGCATCTTAATTCCGTTTGAACCTATTTTCATGCTTGTGTGCTGTTATTTGCCCAAAATTCTTCCATTTTCGCATACCAGTTTGCCATCCTAGTCCTGCAATTAAAAATTCGCTATTACTGTTATCTGTTGTTTGTTTCTTGATGTCACTAAGTCTGTGATTTCAGACGTTTCGGCCAACACAGTCTCAAGTGCGGAGACTGGAGATACATTTATTAATGATACTGGGATAGAATGCAATAGAAGAGGATGGTTACATGCCTTGATTGAATATTTTTGAATTTTGTTAATGAAAGTAACGTATTTAGTCATGATTTTGATATTAAAATTGCACATACAGCCCATCACACTGTCACATCTATGATTTAACTAACAGTATATCCCACTCACAGACTCACCAGGCCATGCTGCCATGTCTTTGATCTATATGTCTCTGTTGGTGTTTCTTTTGTTGTAATATTAAAATATTGCAAAAGTATTTCGGCCACTTCAGTTCAATTACTGAATTATAACGTATATTCCAATATTTGGATGTTGTTATACTTAAACAATTCCCCATGCTGTAAGTTGCTGATGCATACACATTTTTTTAGTAATTTTCTGTTTTTGAATGATAAGATAAGGTTACTGGATCAATTATGTTACTGGAGCATTGGGGAAAATTCTAGAACTACTAGAGGGGACCAGATCGATGATAATTCAGTAATTTCTCCGATGATTTTGAACATTCAAAAATCATTCAATCAAAATGCTGAAATGTCATGATTCCCATTTAATTTAATTTGCTAATTTGTGCATAACCTATATTCTTCTCAATAGATCTAATCTAGTAGTCTAATATTGTATATTCTAAATGCATCAAGTCTCTACTTTTCAATTTGTTCATTTTTCCTATAGAGTATATGTACTGATCAAGCATGGCAACTACAATGATTGTAGTTGGACTTGGAATTGCTGGTAGTGCTTTGTTAGCTCGAGCAGCTGTCCGCATGGCGGGACCTGCGGCACGTCAGATGGATGAAACACTGAAAACTCTCGGAAAATTTGATTTTGAAAATTACAAATATTATAGAGGTGGTTTTGAAACTAAAATGACAAAAAGGGAAGCTGCTTTAATTTTAGGAATTGGGCAGTCTAGCAACAGAAACAGAGTACGAGAATGTCACAGAAGGATTATGCTTTTGAATCATCCTGATAAAGGAGGATCTCCTTATCTTGCCGCCAAAATCAATCAAGCAAAGGACATGTTGGATCATGGATTGAAAAAATAAAACAAATTTGAACAAATGATTAAATTGTAACACTGTGAATTGTTTGAGTTAGCCATGGAACAGAATAAGAGAACTTAATTTAAAACGGTAACTTAACTTAAAAAGGTTTCATGGCAATGCCTCGTGTACATACGGTAGATAAATAGGCATGTTTCATCAATGGATCATAACCATGTTTCAGGTTTATTGATTACGGTTACATATTGTTAATAGCAATATTTCAAATTTGTCAGCCTAGGTTTGGTATTCACGTCCATCTGATGAAGGTTTAACTTGATTTGCTATAAAATTTAACAACACTCAAGATATTTATGTTTCTTGTTTCACTTTCTCAATTTGATTAATTCTTCGTTGATTAAAATTGTTTGTCCGTAATATTTACTAATTCAGGGTATGTTAGAAATTAAATAGGTGAAAATATTTTTTAGAAGCTAGCCAGAGAATGTATTTATTAGGTTTCATCCATTTGATCACATAATAAAATTACTTAATAATTCTATTTCGTACTTCCTGAATTTTTTGAGGTGATCACTCTAAATAAATCCAAAGATGTTAGTTTTTAAAAAGATTTTTAAGAGATTTTTGGCTTAATAAAATAGCCTAGCAAAGGTTGAAGTAGGAATGGACTAATGTGCGAAGGAAGATATCTTTATTGTTGGTGCCTATTGTCAACCATTAAGTCATCAGAAGTTGCCCATGATTTATGAAAGTTCCTTTAAAAGGAACTCCAGTATTGAAAATAGTCTGCTGATTCAAACAACAAATTTATAAGGATGCTGGAAAATGTTCACTATATTAAAAATATAAAATTGTTATTGGTGAAAATCATAAGAGCATCACACCAAATTCTATTTGCTATGATTATGAACCTTGCTTGAAAGTATGCACAAAGTTTATAGCCACCATGTCTGTTTTTGATGTGTTTTGCAAAATATACTATTTCTAAACGTGAGCTCCTTTTTGTATTTGATTCTCATCTATTGACTGTTTGTACATTTTTCAGAATTAATAATGAATCCCTATGTAAATCATGGAGTGCTTTTGCATCAAGGTGCTGAGGCTAAAATTTATAAATGTGAGTTTCTCGGTCGAACTGCAATTATTAAGTTTCGTTTTTCGAAAAAATATCGCCATCCCGAACTGGATGAAAAACTGACTAAGAAAAGAATAACCCAAGAAGCACGTTCCTTACTAAGATGTAGGAATATTGGAGTTCAAACTCCAGCTGTGTATTTTGTAGATTTGGATATGGGTGTGCTTGTACTTGAATACTTTGACATGGCACAGACATTGAAAGAGCACATATTTCAAGCATATGAGAAATATGATACACCTGGACAATACCCACCAGAATTGGTTCAAATTATTGAGAATGTTGGACAAAAACTTGCTATGATTCACAACTCCGATATAATACATGGTGATTTGACTTCTTCAAACATCTTGGTTGAATGTCAGGAAAGCAGCGAAAGAAAGAATTCTGTAAAAATAATTTTCATTGACTTTGGTTTGAGTTCATCGTCTCGACTTGTAGAAGATAAGGGTGTTGATTTGTATGTTTTGGAAAAGGCATTCTTAAGTACTCATCCAAATAGTGAAAATCTTTTCGGTGCCCTAATTAAGTCCTACAAAACGCATTCCACCAACTGCAAAGGTATAATATCTAAATATGAGGAAGTAAAACTGCGAGGTCGAAAGCGAACTATGGTAGGGTGAAGTAGTGCTATATTACCAATTGCTATATGTGAAACATATCCACTGGTTTTCATTGTTCTAAACCTGTAGTGGTGAGAACACTTTTAATGAATAGGAACTCTTAAAAGCAGGTGTTCCCAAACTATATATTGTCTCAAGTAACAGTTAGGGGCTGACCAGATATTTACAGCAGTCCTTGCATTTTTGAATAACAGATCTTGCATCCATGAAATTCCAAATATATATGTTCTTCCGCGGTGTTTCAAGTATCATGATATATATTGTTGATGGAACAACTTGGTATTTTACCACCCGTATGTGAGGATGTCAAGTATGAGTACTTACAAGTATTCGATTCTTATCCAATTTCCGATTCTTGACATATCCTAACGAAAAAACATACCCACCTAAGCAATATCATATGAAATCAAAAAAGAGATCGATGTTCAAATTCTGGAAGGACAAAAAGGCCGAAACTAAGTAGTATGGGTATCCAATCTGTCACAGGAGACAAAATCGCACAAAAAAGAGAATTCCTCAGAACCCACAGAGATTATGAAAATAAAAAGGCGTTAAAGCCTTCTAGCGAAATACATATATAGTGAAGTTTGCGGCGTCGTAGCAACTCAACATAGAAGTGAAGCAGCTTATACATATATGTGAAGGAATTGCCACAAAACGTTACACATTGTTGGCAATGCCAGTTATAACACCTAGGTAAAGCTAGCGGATAGTTACCAATTTTTCCAAATTAGGATAGGATTTACATATTTATCCCGGGGGAGAGGAAAGCCGTAAGACGGCTCATCCATATGGCGAACCACGGCCTCTCGTCCGGTTACCATTTCAAGTCGGGTATGGGATTAGTTATATAGTTTGTTTTCGGAAGCATGGACTTGGTGGTGGAGGAAGCAGTAACCGACCAGCGGTTACGTGAACCACCCAACGACGGCGAAGAGTCCAGCAATCCTCTCGCACATAACCACCCACGCAGAGTAATTAGAGGTGCGGTGGCGAGCGTATTCCTAACGCTTAGCCCGTTGAGCCACACCGCCGCATTCAACGCCATGTTCAACGAATTGATCGCAAATAAAGTGGACAGTTGTCGCGAATTCACTTAATTGCGGCTACATGAATGCAAAAAATGAGGCGATTCGACCTTTTAGAAATAGTCATAGCCAAGTTCATTTTTTTTTCCAAGCAGTAAAATAATGAATGATGCAAAAAATAAGCAAAAATGCAAGAACATGAGCCGTGGGGAACCAAAGTTGGTTATCTAGCAGCGGCACCCAAGATTCAACTTCTAATTAACATATAAATATGGTAGATCAATATAGCATAGTATAGTTTAACCGTAAATATATGCTACTACGGTTTAACGAGAAATCGTCATGACACTAGGGTCAAGGGTGTATCTGAGAGCCACGCACTACATCAGATCAATGACATTAAACAACATGATAGGCAACTCTGACGTCACTCCATAAGACTACAGGCAAAACATTGTATTTCATGATACGCTCCAATGCACATATTTCTCGTCGCCTTTCGCGTCCGTTTTCCGCTCGCTCTTGCTACTCGGCGTCTTTTTTACGTGTAGTACCTGCCTTTTTGCGCCTGTAACGAAACAAAATAATCTCTATATCTAAGAAGTTTTGCTTACTTGGAAAGCTGGAATAACAGGCAAGCTGTAAAGAGCAATTCTGGACATCATAGACGTTTTTTTTTATCAGAGAAGATTACAAACGCGATAGCGGAAAGATTTGTGTGGAACATTTTGCAGATAATGACAAAGTTCAAAGTTAGTAATTTTAATGTTTGCGCTTAATCATTGAAATTTCATTTAAAGAGGGTGTCATACAAAACTGTGCTGCGATACTATTCCATAACACAAAGTTTGCACCTATCGAACTTGCTTTTGTAGGTGAATTTATTAGACATATTACATACGATTGCTGGTACATAATGCATCGTAGATAGGTTTGTTTAAATTTAGGAATTTAGCTCATAGCCCACTAATTAATATTATCTTCTATGCAGGAGGTTGCAGGGCTGAATTCAACTTGCAGCCTTACCAATCACCTGACGATGCTCATTTAGTTTGGCTCGAGCAAGTCTTCTTGAAATGCTTGTGTGGATGGAAACTACCTATATTTTTTGCCTTCCTCCGATTTTAGACAAATTTATTCTGAGGGATTTCGCATATAATTCTCACTGATTGTTGGCTGTTTATAATTCCTATTGATTGTGAATTCTGATTATAACAATGAGTTGAAAATTTTTTTACCTAATTTACTGGCACCTTTTTCTTGTCAATACTCCAAGCTGAGGTAATAAACATGACAATACATTTATGTCATCTGGAAGCAAAATATGCACACTAATTAATAGTTTGGCACATTGAGATAATACATCATGACAGAAAATACAAGTTAAAGATATGTATGACCATCACATGGTAATTAAAATTAAAAAAAACTAATAGGGGCTGTGGAGTATGGAAAGTTCAAGACAAAGAAAAGAACAAATGTTCATAGTTCATGAACTCTCAATTTTGCCTCCATTGCTTGTGAAGGCCAGTATATTTCGAGTGGCTGAATTGGTTTACCTTTATGATAGCAACGATTTTGTATTTAATATAGCGAGATTATTTCAATTTAATTGAAGTGATATAATTTCCCAAAGCAATGCTTGAATCGTCTAGAATAGATCAGTGGTGTCAAACTCATGGGTTTTCGAGAGCCGCATTGCATTTTGAAAATTGTAAAAAGAGCCGCAAACAGTTTTTGATAATGTATACTTGAAAGATATTTTTAAGATAGTTTTAGTTTGTGACAGATATTGTGATGCAACTAAACAGTTGGATTAAGTTTTATTATTTTCTTCAATTTCAAATGCAATTACATATTAATATTTGCATTCCACTATTATTGCAACATTTGCAAGTTACAGTATTTATTATAAAAAATCGTAAAATTCTATGTACAACCATCAAAATCATTTTTGAACAAGCTTTGAATAAGGAAAGAATAATACATACACTAAAAATAACTTAATCTAAATATATGAACCTAAAATTAACAAAAATACTACAGTATAAACTCAATGTTTTTAATAATTACATTTGTCCTGGCGTTTGGCATCTTTTTTGTGTCACCAGCATACTAAGGCCAGTCTGAAATGATTTTATAGTACCAACTCTAACTAACGAGGCCACATGATCATGGGTTTATCTGGATCTTTACGAATGTCTAAATAATTCCAGTAATGCAAAAAAGTTACTTTTATCATTTCATGTATAGATCAGTAAAAAAACAAATGACAGATTTTTTCGACAAGACATTTCGCACTACATTGCGTGGCATAGGATTGCTTGAATTATTATTGATATTGATTTTTAGTAACTAAGTCGTTGTATAATTATATTAATATACAAACACATGGAAATTTTCTGTTCGAAGTTGGTCTTCGAATTTGTCATATTGACTGCTGAGCTTGTTGTGTTTTTTGATTGTATTGATGGAAATATGACAAATTAAACAATGTGCTTCAGAATTTTGTGAAGAGCAGAAATGTTACAACTCCCATTTTCTTCGAGAATGCCACCTTCTTCATGTACTTTGCGTTTAATTTAATTACTCAAGTGTTTTATTCAAGTATTCTTTTGCTAGCTTGATGTGTATTCTTAATAGGGTCAAAATGTGGACAAAAAAAATCAATATTCCAAAACTACTTTCAGTAAATTGTTTTCTGTGTGAATAATCAATTTCACTTTAGAAGGTTTGAAAAATCTATTACATTTAGATAAAAAAAAAAAAACTTCCAAAATACTATTACAATTATTGTTAAACGTTCGAGGGCCGCACTGGAAGTTCTCTGGGGCCGCGAGTTTGAGATCCCTGGTCTAGATTGAAGTTGTTCAAAAAATATATGATAGTATTTTATCATGAATGATGATTATACCCCTTCCGGAATTTCTTCTATAGTACTACAAAAGTTGATGAACCAAATATAACACAGGTGCAGTGAGGTACCCGTAATCCTCATTTCCAAAGCTGTTTTAAGTATGTCTGGCGTGTTTTGTGCCTTTTTACAAATAAGACCGCTTATGCAATCTTACGCTTTGGAATTTTTAGCTATTTTCCTCAAGCCCTGCAGGATGTGGGGGCCATACACAACTCTACCGGAGGGTCAAATGTCTTTGCATGCCTCCATAGGTTGTTTTTCTATTGCAATTTTCTATTTTCAAATGCATTATATTTCTTGGAATCACACTGTCACTGATATGTCGCCAGACTTCTGATATCTCCCCGTCTGCTATGGTTGTCCTGTGAATAAATAATAGGAAATTGAGATTAGACGAATAGTTGAAAGTTTTGCCTTATGTCGGCTTAATTTCTTGATTGATATACTTACTATTTCTGCTATTGCCTCTTGTGCTGCAAGAGTCTCACAATGCTTAGACAGGTTTGTCCACAACTTTCACATCTGAAGAAAGAGAGGAGATTTTATTAATTTTCGTTAAGAATAAATAAAGCAGTCTATATGATTCAGAATGGAACAGCTAATAAATCCAATATCTCATGTTTTATTTAAAAAATATTTTACTAAATTTGGTATATAAACCAACTAATAAAAGGGTTTAGTCAGAAAATTACAAGCATTCGTGGCTCCAAATACTTGAGAAATCAGACTATACAATATAGACCGGTATGAGTGAAATGTTAGGTGAACTTGTTAACACTTTGATTCAATACGCAAATAAAAGTGAATGCGTAATAGTATGTTACAATGAGCAGCAATCAACAATGAGTATATATCCTCACTGATTAAAAAAAATCTAACTGGAGGTGCATGAACTATTTGAAACCATAAGGGGTAAGTAAATATGTAATTTCGGGCAAATGGGCAACTACGTACCGTACTGATTTAATAACTTCGTAGTATTTGACAAAGGCTGGCTTTCCCACATGTACTTAACATGCGATGCCCCGGGTGTGATATACAACAAATAGTATCACCTTATACCTTTTACCGATTTCTTTTTACCCAACTTTCAAAAATATCATTAAAATCGACAACAACTGTCCAAAGCAGGCACGACACCATTCGTGCTACGCCTTGAAGCAGCACAACATCCGCTCGTTTTCGTCTCGTCAAGTATGTGCATTGGAGCGTGCTATCGAATACGAATCTTCGGACAAAAATGCGGAGTTGCGCATCATGTTGTTTAATGTCATTGATCAGATAGTAATTTGGGGTATTCCCCCATTTCGTAGCTTACAGGCAGTGAATAAAAAGCGTGTTTATGGGG